CTATACATATATAAAAAATACATAATATATATGAAATAATGTATTATATTATATTATTGCCTCTGCATTGGATTATTATTGGATAGGGTAATCATTTAGTAATGAACTAAGTCTGAAAGCAGAAGTCCAGGGCAAATATTTGCAAGTCTCTTCAGTGCGCATGTCACAAAACGAGATGCATTGTGGGACATGTAGTTTATGGGCAACCTGCTTCTGTAAAGTGGCATGTAACCGTATAATAAACGTATTATATTCTTTGCAAGCTCTTGCGGGGCCACATAAAATGAAGTCGCGGGCCGGATTTGGCCCCCGGGACTTGAGTTTGACACCCCTGCTCAAGAGGGAGTTTCTCTCCCACACACTCCCCTCTGAAGCTTAACAAATCCAGCCTTTGCATGGGAGACAAAGACAGAAATAATATCTGCATGAATGTAAAAAATGAAAATAAGGTTTCTGTAAAATCCATTAAACAAAAGTGATTGATTGCAGTAGTTGTACAATCCATACTTTGTATTATTGGATTACACCGCTTTACACTGAAAGGGTTTATCTGTTATTTTGTCCATATCATTCTGTATAGTTACTTAATTTGGCTTCAGTGCAATTCAAAATCAAGTTAACAGAAGCAATAGAGAAACTTGATAAACGGGATACTGCTGGAAAATGTATTTTTCATCCACGAGTGCACTCGGCTGCGAGATTCAAAAACTGGAGAGCAGTGACATTCAGACTGTTCAAGTAGCTGTCAAAATAAGTCAGTTTACCACCATGGTTCATGATAAGCCAGTTCTCCTCTCCACCCTGCCAACAGGTGTGTCAGACTGCTGGAGCGTAGAGACATTAAGACTTCTACACTTAGACACCTTTCAGACTTTTATCACCGTTACACCTTCATCTCAGCTCTCAGAAATAATGCATAGGAAGGGGGAATATCAAAGAGAAGAACCATATGTTTTCATGGTATAATCTCTGGGAGCTGCAGCCTGTACAATTAACCTGCTAACAGCTCCTTTTCCATGAGCAGATGTGTTATAAAATATGACCATCAACATACAACACAAATGATGTTCAAACTAAACCTCCACATAATCACTGGATTTATCTGTAAGTATAATAGTTCAGAGAGGCACGAGTATCATGCAAAAGCGTTCATACCGAATGTTTATTGTTTGATCAACTGAGTAAGCTGATCACTGAGCTGGCAGACATGATAGGTAGTTTGAAATGACGGACAGCAAACAGACAAAATCCTTGATCCTCCCTTCTGTCGGTTCGTTAAGACGAGCTGAAGAGAAACACAGGCTCTATTGTTGCCTTTATCCCCCAGAATAGTCACTGTAACAACATCATGATCACTCACTGCTGAAATAGCTTCTTTCTACTGCTTTGTTAACACTTTACGGAGACATCTGTTTTGTCACTTCTGCTACCCGGAAAATTAAATAGCACAGTAGTGTCATTTTAAACCAACATTCACACATATGGACTCAAGCGTTAGAGACGTGACGGCGCATTTATTTCAAGAATCAAATGTCAGCGTGATATTGAGAATAATTCAAGCTCATACAAATGTCCTCCAACAAGTAGGAGCAACAAAGCCATCAATTTCCTTGCATCCAATGGAAGCACAGCTGTTTTCTGCTCGAGATCAACAACGTAGAAGTACTTGAAAGCTAAATGGAGGAACATCTGATTGGCACGGCATTTCCCATTCCAGATTATTGCATTTTAATTAGCCAGTGCAACTTGATTCAAGTAAACAACGCATAGAAACACATTGCATGGTAAATAACTGTTTTCTAGTAGATTAGCAGATTTTCTTAGAGCCCAAAGAAGACGTCGTTGAAATATCTTTCGTCTGAAAAACGGTCCTAAACTCAAAGATAATTTATCTAAAAAAGGAAGTGAACTGAGAAACTGAATGTAGCAAATTTTTGTTCCCAATAATTGTTCTCCTAATCAACCATGTGATTCATTAACTGTCTGTGTTCAGCATTATTTTGTTTTCTTGTTGATTAGTTATACTGGAGTGGGCTTATCTGGTGAGGCATGCTGTTGTGTGCTCAGTCATATTGTACAGAACATATCGAACAAAATAAAAAGTATATCTAGAAAACTGACTGCTTCATTACACACTTGTTATAAACCCAATTACACATGGCTGCCGGCTGCACTCTCACACAAATCCAAATGGTTGAATGAAACAACATAAACTGAGTACTAATGACTTACTGCAGTCATGCTACTTTTAAGGTTAGGTATACGAGTCAATGTGATCGGAATACAGAGGCTGATTATCGTTTAACCTATAAGGATAATTATGCCTTACAATCATACTTGCCAACCCTCCCGATTTTCGCGGGAGACTCCCGATTTCACTGCCCTCTCCCGGTTTCCTCCCGGGGTCATATTTCTCCCGATTTCTGACAAAATCAGATTTACTCACGACTGTTTCCACTCTGACTTTAATACAGCTACGCCATTGTTTGGTTTCCATGGTAGCGCATCTCTTTAGTTGCGTGCAACTGAAAGTCTAAGAGGGTGAGAAACTTAGTCACAGAAAACTGAACAAGAATCGACAACTCAACCCTCTGCTCACTCCTTTCCTGTAAAATACAGGTCCAGCCCACACATATGCTCCATCAAGGAGGCCGCAATAAGGCATTGCACTTACAACTACAATAAGCATGCTAATGTTAATCTAACACCTCCGGCGATCCACTAGCACACCCCCCCCTCCGCGGTGGTTTTGAAATGCTCCCGATTTCTGAGGTCTCAAGGTTGGCAAGTGTGCTTACAATGAGTAGAAAGCAGTTATGGCGCACACACTGTGAGATACCGCTGATAAGGCTGATGGGATGGACACCTTTTGGGAAAACAGAGTCCGATGACAGACTTGAGATTAATGGCTTCCCCACTGACAGAGCTATGCATTTCTCATACCTGCTGTGACTCTCCACCATTATCACAACGGGATTATATGTAATAAATATGCCATAAATACCAGCTGGTTCAAAATTTGACATTTGACAAGCTGCCAAAATGTAATATATGGGCAGAATGATAAACCAGCAGACAGGAGACAACACTGAAAGCTGAATATTTGTGAGGGACATACTAAAAAGTGAAGTTGTTTTTAAATGTTATAGCATAAGGCTGCAATGTATGTCTTTAATATCGATTTATCTGATGCGTATCTTCTTAGAAAATTGATTTAATATTTGGTTTATTCAGATGTCAGAAATGCATCATATAAATTGTCCATAGCCATCCCAATAATGACGATTTAATGTAACAAAAACAGCCGTATGATAACATGAATAAGGGTGAACAGAGAGTCATTATCACAGGATGTATATCAATATAAAGCTGCAATTCGGGTTGTTTTCGGGTTGATTATTTTACAGCACAGAAAACCATGACAAATAATGTTTTGTCCAATAATACACTTTTTCTAAAACTGAATTAAGAGAGATGGTGCATTTTCTTCGAGGCGGCCGTCTCAATTGTATTTGAGAAACAGTATGATACAATTATTATCGAGCAACGTGCTATTGTAGTAAAACTAAATGAAGTTGGATGGGGATGAGAGGAGAAGAAAACAGCTTCATAAAAATGCCTGTCTTTCATGAAATGCTCTGCTGTATTGTCCCTCCAGGAATAAATGCGGAGGTAGATGCCACTCCCTTCAAAGTTATTATAATCTCAACAAGGGCTTTTCATTTGGGAGGAGGGGGATTGAGAAGCTCGACGTAAAACCCAATTATTTCCATTATACTCGAGTAGCACTTGAGCAGGCTGGCCAAGGAAAGTGGTAATCATAACCCTCAACACACACTTCGGTTGAAAGAGAGCTCCGATCGATAAGTGAGACCCTCCCCTCCCCCTCCAGTCATGACAGAAGCAAGCACAAAAACACACAAGCCTTGAGGTATAAAATCAGGGTCACCCAAAAGTCTCTTGGAAACAGCAAAAGGAAAATATACAGAATGTGGGAGGTGAAGGAAAGAATGGTGAGTGGGCTAGATACAGCAGCACATTCTCAGGGTGGGAGCGGGCACAATGAAAGCATTAAAAAGACATGAAGGCAGGGAAGAGTGGACAAAATAATAAAAGGGAACAGGAAACGCCTGCAGTTTAGGCAAATTATTCCCACAGACAGAAGACAAATCCTGGTGATATCTTTTGTCTCAGGAAAGGACAGAGAAGATCAAACAGCGAGTCACGACAGAGAATATCAGACAACCAGTGCAGACCCAACAGGGCTGCGCCGAGCACAAGCGCTTCCCCTGCTGTCTAATTGGCCAGTTAGCCATCAAGTATGTTCAGAGGGAGACCATTAGTGCTGTGTAAGCCCCCCAGTAGTCCTCCTCTTCATCATAGTTTCTTCATCTCTCCCTGAAATACACTGTGTACTTCCCTAATGACCAATGGGGAAATATTCAATCTAATGGGCTCCTTTTATTCCCTCCCCGCCTGCTCTTTGCTCCGGTCCTCTGATTGGTGCTGCGTGCGTCAGATTTCATCCTCATCCCCCGAGCTCCTTCCCCCCCCCCCCC